AAGATAAACAAATATATAGGCTTTGAGGAATTTTACTGGAAGAAATCTAACCATCTTATCTACCTTCAGTGTTAGGAAGTAGGTAAACTCAATTTTCCATGGTTATATTCTGGATTAGGTTCTTACAGGGAGATATATAATTGCACATAGTTACATAACCCCTAAATGCACAAAATACAAGGCACAAAATCATTGATGCTCTGTGGATTGCAGTAATTTCCCTTCTGTTTCTTTGATTTTTTTAATTGTAAAAATAAAAAATTCAATGTTTATGATAGCTATGTTATATTTAGTCTTTATATTTGCTTGCTTTTTAAAAACTAATAGCAAAGTCAATATTTCAGTATAACCTTCTATACACACATACCTCTGTACTTGAAATATCTGAGATGATATGAACAATAAAAAGAATTATGTTTAGTGCATTAATAGACAAAACAAAATTTTTAAAAAATCCAAACAATTTTAGGGCACAATTTATTTTAGGGATTCAACGTTCTGAATATGCCCATTTTAGGAACTGTGAGGTATCTCATACAGTCTCCAGATGCACTCCAGATTGTGTGTCTCTGAGGTCCCTTTTTTATACTTACCAGTCCTCCCTGTATCTTCACACTCTAAGTAAGATAATGTAGTCCAACTCTGAACTAGATATTTTGCAGTTATTTTAATTCATAACTACATAGGTTTTGGAGGTACCTCATTGGGATGGTGAGCATACTAATGCTCAGCCTGAAGAGTGGATAACCTTAATAAATGTTATGTGCAATAACCAATGAACAGTTACTTTGTACTTGCAGCTTGAACATATTCTACTTGCTTATATCTCATTGTGTTTGGCTAAAGTTGTTCCAATTAACCTAAGAATGGCCTGTAACAAAACACGATGCCTTCTCAGAAACCATAGGATATTAATTTTGGCATCAATCTACCTCTGTAAACGAGTGCAGCTATCCCATGAGTCCTGCAGTGCCTGCCAGTGCTTTGTGGGTGTTCCAGACAGCAAATAAAATATCAGTAAAAAAAAAAAAATTCACTAAAACATCTACATTTTAAGAATAAAATCCTACCTTAAATTCTGTATCTGGGCCACTAATTCTGACATACTTTTGCCTTCGAATGAAGAAGTTATCAGTAATGTATTACCTTCTCTTAAAGGGAGTTATATAAAAGAGAGAAGAAGAATCACCCTTTTATCATTATTTGATTAATTACTTTCCAACATGTGCATGTCTGTGAAGCCACCTGAAGAGGTCTAGCTCAGGCTTAGACATCTAATTAACTATACAGTAATGTTTTGCAAGACCATTATGATTTTATATCCATAATTCTATTGTTATAATTACAAATATAAACATTTTAGTAAAAGTAATAAACATGAAAAAGAAGAAATATGTTATGTGGCATTTCTCCCTTAAAAGAAGAGAAAATTCTTTTAATGATTTAACAAATGCACTTTTAATTTGTCAGTTGTTAGTAAACATGATAAAAATCTTTAGAACCTTATCTGGTAGAATTATTAAATTTTCTCATGTACAAAATTCCCAAACTATTTCTAATAGTCCCTGCCATGACAAGGGTATTGAATAATCTTTACAGTTGCTTCCAGCCTAGACCATTCTGATTCTATTATTCCTTTACTGAATTCCTCCAGTTCTGAATTTGCTGTAATACTGTCTCTTTAGGAGTTTCAGATCTCATTAGAAATCATTAGACGCTTGAGAGATGTTAACATCTCACAAACACTATAAACAATGCCTTTTCAACCTTGATTGAAGTTTTTGTGTTCCCTGATTAATGTTTGTGCGCTGAGATAGATTAAGAATATAAAAGGGAGAAAAACATTGGAATATATGACCTTTATAAACAAGTTGTTTCAAAATGTTTTGCAACAATGAGTAAAACTTCTTTCCTTTTTTCTTTTCAGTAAAAATAAGTAAATATCCAAGTAATCCTCACTGATAGATAAGACAACATGAAATGAAGGTTAACTTTTGATGAATAATATTTTGTAAAAAAAAATTGTACATGTCATCGAAATATACTAGCATTAAACTTTACCTCCAAAAAAGTGGTATAAGTTTTAAAATTTTAGCAAGCAAACCTAAATATTTTTCTGCCGTTCATAATGTTGATCTTGACCCATTGAAGGGATTTGGCTTGGATCAAACTTAGCCTCTTTACCAGGAAGAAAACACCGCCATCCCTTCAACACAACAGAAGAACTGGACATTAAATAAAGACAAATTCTGCAATGGTCTTACTATGTTATAGCTGTAGGCAAATTTCAACACGTTGCCGGATGGTAGATGGCCTCTGGAGACAAGATCTTCAGCTTAAGAAATAATCAAGTTTATATGCTCACCTAGCCAGAGCACAGTACTTAGTCTAGCAGCTGGATATACTTGGGTTTGTTGTTTTTTTTTTTCAAAGCATTGCAAAAAAATGCTGATAGCTTCACTGAATGCTGAAAAACGTGTGTTGTGTTTGCATTGCTGTGCCCTCAGGTAATGTGAAAGGACATGCAAACCCAGCTGCACAGCCTGAAGCTGGCCTCCGGCATGAGCTGTTAGAACTGTGACCTCTGTATGGCAGGAAATCCCACCAGCAAAAAGCGTTAGTGGAAGCAAGAGAGGAAGGGAGCACTTTGAGTCAATGTTAGAGATTATTTTAAAAGATCTGTTTAAGCTTCTAAACAGACCATATTGTAGAAAAGATGTGAGCTAGCTAAGACCTGGGTAAATGAAAAAGGTTTTTATACTGACTGCCAAAGGTAACATGCTGGTAATCAATACCCAGGAGGAAAGACAGCTCAGAAATGGAAAGGTGTGTTGCAGTTGTCAGAGACAAATGTAGTCTTCATCACTATATAGCAGAGGGTGAATGGGCTTGAAACAAAGAGGGAGAGGAATTCTAAATTGTAGTTAAAATTTCCAACTACTTTATGCTTATCCGTAGACAGAATATTCTGGACATAAAAAGACTTCAAGGTAAAAAAATATGTGAGAAGATTAAAATATTTCTTGAATTCTCTAAAAGTATAGGGTTCTGCTACAACATCATAAAACACTGGGAAAAAAATATCCATGTTTTTTTCAATTACCTATAAATATAGTTCTTTTTGTTAGAAATCATCTGACATCTCATACCTAGTGCTTCTTCCAATTCATCGAATATATTTCTTATCTGGTTCATCCACACACCCTTTCCCTGTGGACAGCATAGGAGTTGCATTTGCTTAGTAAGAAAAAAGAGCTAAGGATTTATACTGAGCTTATGTCAGCTATCATATTTCTACACTGCATATGATAAGAGATGATTGACAGAAATGATTCTGTAGTATCCTTTGTTATGTCACCAAGAAAAAGAGAAAAGCAATTGTTTAATAAATCTGCACTTCCCCCATGCAAAATACCATGAGATGGATGATAGATGGTGGCAGGTTCTTCCAACAAGTCTCACAAGACATTTGGAGGCAGAATGTTGCCTGGGATACATTGCATTCTTACACTGCAGTCTGTTGACCTATGACATTTAGACAAGTTGAGGTTTTGCCCTTACAATTTAATGTATGTTTACAATATCTTTGAAAATTAACTACCCTTAAATATATCAAACATTTTCTCTGAAATTTAAATTGCAATTCAAATGTTTACAACTTATAGCCAGCAATTTAACGTGCTTATTCTGACTATAAATATTAAAATGATTTTATATATCTACTTTATTTTTTTTCCCATTTCTCACTCTTTTTTTCTCTCTTTGTGTTCTATGGTTTAGTGGGGATTTCTTTCTGTAGAATTTCAATACTGTCAAGTGCCATATTGAATAAATTTTAAAAAGAAAATCCATGTATAATCACCTCACTTAGAAAAACAAAGTAAAACTTTAGAGTTATAAATGAAATATCACATTCTCACTACCTATTTTAAAATAACACAAATGCTCTCAGTCTGTGGTCCTTAGCAGTTACAAAATGAATAAATGAGACTCAAGCTTTCACTTTTTCATGATTTTTAACATAGAATAAATAGCATGTTCATGTAATTTAAATACAGAAGTCACTAAATATCTCAAAATCACATTTTATTCTCCGTTATTCTATTCTTTTCTGAAAAAATAGTACAATCTTAGTATTTCTTTATTTATGGATATTTCCCCAAATTTTCACATGTTTTAGGAAGACACCATGCCATGCTATATTTTTGATTCATAATTTTGACTTGCATGGCCTAATTAAACAGTTCAAATTAGCCTAAATTAGTTAATTTAAGACCTAATTTAATTCAAACATATTACAGCATTAATGAAAAGACAAACACCTTTAGACAGTGATTCAGAAGTGTTAAGCAGTACTTCAGCTCTAATTCAGCTCTAAATTACCCTTCAGTTATCAATTATTGCACTCATAGCTTAGTTCCCATTTTCTACTTCCTACTTCCTAGTTCAGGCATTTCAAGGAATGTAAATTCAGAGATATTAGTGCTATAGTTTATAGCCATTGTACGTCAATGCATCTGGGTTTATTTTCTATGGAAATCAAAATATCAGAGACAAGTGGAATGCTTAAGTCTCACTTAATATGAAGCTGTGAGCTGCTCCATTCCTGAAACAAAGAGGTTTCCAAGCCATATTTAAATACATTTATTTTTAGGTTGTTTGGGCTTTGAATACTCCTGAATGTAGCCATTAATATTCATAGAAATGAAAATATGATTGTCAGATGTGTCATAATTTTATGCATAAATATATATATAAGTTTTCTAGGATTGTGACAATTGGCCAATACAGTTATTAAATTTACACAAACATTGAACTGTAAGTAATGTTGTAGGGGAAGAATCAGACAATACACTGATATATACTGGGAGCTCTAAGGCCTAAATAATTGCTTTCCAAAGTAAGGCATAATATATAAGGATGTTTTTTGGTGATCTCTCTGTCCTTTTCTGTTAGAATTCTATAAAACTAAAAAGATTCTTGATCTTTAATTTGAACAGGAAAGACCTTCAAACCTTTGGATCAAGAAAGTACTGCAGAAAGAGAAGTCCTGGACTGCTAACAAGAAACAAAGAGTTTGTACACTTAGGATTTAGAATTAAACAGGATTCTCAATGCATGGTTATTACTTACTGAGCTAGTTCCAGTAAAAAGCTTAGTATTTCATTGTATAGAATGTCATCCTTTAATTAAAGGCCATTTAAGCCAGATTTTCTTGTAACCAAATCAGATCCTTAAAATACTTGAATAAATTGTATTTTACAGTTATGTTTAACTGAAAACTGAGAAAAAAATATTGCTTTCAGTACCAACTGAAATATTCATCTGTCATTTTCTATGTTATCACATTACAGAATACTGATACCCAAACTACTGCAATGACCAAACTATTTTATTATATTTTGGCAATGGAAGCACAAATTCTTTTCTTATAAAATATAGTCTGAAATTAAATAATTAAGGTTTCTGGTTGCAAAAGAAGTACAATAAAGGAAATGAGTGAGTTGACAATTTGCTTTAGTCAATATTCTACAAAATATAATTGTGTATGACCAACTTTTAGTCAACAAAACTATTGGATTTATTTAATTTTACACTGTAGCTCTTTGTTTCATGCTGCTAGTATACCTCTGGATGCTGAAAAAATCATTTAATCACATTTGACTCTGGGGAAGAAACCTGAAGACAGAAAATTTGTGAGAAACTGCCAGAGTTTATCTAATTTCATCTTGAATTTACATACTCTAGGATTTTGTCCACTGGGTCATATTGCAAAAAAAAGCCATGAATACCAATGCATAACAGCATGCTGCACTGTAAGGGTTTTATGTTTTTTAAATAATCTACCTCTTTCAGTTTCTCCTCCTGAAGAAACAATGATTTTCACTCCTTACTGATATTTTATTGAAAGACTGAAAAGGAATAGGATCCACATTCCTTCTGGATTAAATAATCTACTAAATTTGCAATCTGATATTCAAAAGAAAAAATTAGAGCTGATCAGTTAAAGTGGGTCTTTATTATATCCCTTAAAATACCTTGATATTTTAAGGGATATGCAAGACCTCCTTAATTTCTAAGGGAATTTTGATTATGGTGCTTTCATTTTTTTTGGTTTTTCATCTGTTTATTTAAGTGGTTGGTTGGTTTTGTTTCCCTTTCACAAAAAGAAAAGGAGGAAAATAAGTAAGAATTGTTCTTATGGTATTTTTCCTGTTTTTGTTCTGTAAATTAATGGCAATATTAAATCAAAAATTTTATTGACCTATTTCTTCCCCTTTTCAATTTGATTAATATTAGAATATTTCTAAACTAAATATACTAATTCAGTAATACTTAGCTAGTACTGTGAATATAGGAAAGATAGATCAGTAGTGTCCAGAGCAAATCAGCTCCAAAATATACGAATTTTTGTGAATATGAGATTTCCTATTTTCTCTGATCTTGGAAGTGACCAACCACCCACCCACCCACAAAGAAACCTCTAAAAGTAATTGATTTTTGTTACATAGCAGCTTCGTTACTTTTTGGTTTACAGATAAGTTTTCTTCTGATTCCTGTCAGTGAGCTATATCTGGTCATTGACAAATTTGAACCCTCATCTTATGTTTAATTATCTAATTTTCCTTACATTTCTCTCTATGAAATTGAAAGCTTACAATAAAAGATCACTCATATCCACAACTGAAAGTTAAAATTATGTATTGAACAATTTGTTATCTGTCTGATTTCATTAGACATTTCATTCTTGCTTTTGTTCCTCAGACAAACATATTTGACAACAGTGTGAAACTCAGAATTAGTAGTGAGAAGTTTTGACTTAGAGAAGATTTAAATTTGTTTATTTTAGAGGTGTGAGAAATTATTGTCTGACAGAAATTCAATTTGATGCTTCAGGACTTCAGAATGTATCTGTAAGATACACTTTTTATTTTGAAATTTCTCAGTGGTAGTAATATTGGAAGATGAAAATTAAAATTTAAATGACACAGCAAAAATAAAAGGTAAGGTATTTTATTCATACTAAATAGACAACACTGCCACTCCTTTTACAAGATATAGTTCCTTTTCCATCTTTTCTGGTCAGTTTCACAAGCCAAAAAACCCCCAGTGGATACAGATATATGGCTTAACCTTTCTGTCTCATTTCCTACAAGGAGACTCATTGCCTTTGCCCTTTCTCAGAAAGATATAAGGTTATAAGACCAAAATATTTTTATTAACAGGAATTGTTTTCCAAAAAAATTACTTTTTTTCTTTAATTAATCATAAATTAATCTAATGTGGGATTTGAAGGCTGCCTAAGTTTTGATCAACCTCATTTTCCCTCTGAACTCTACAAAATTCCTTTGCAATACAGCTTTAAAGGGGCATTAATGGATAGACATAAAAACTGATAGAGATAAAAAATACCTTTAATAAAGCGAATTATTTTATGATACTTATTTTTGAATTGGTCGTCACTGAAATAGAATATGAAAAAATACCTATGAAGTTTGTGTAGTCTGACATTTATCTTTGTGAACATGTTTATATGCTATTTGTAAGTATTGCTTTTTATACTCTGAATCAGACCACTAAAAATGTGTATTGACATAAGAAATTGTCATATCTATAGAAATAACAAAAAAGAAATGTGGATTCTTTAAAAAGGAATATTGTTTTTTTTCTTAACCTGTGTAATACACTCAATTAATTTTCCCTGCTATTATGAGAATATGAAATTCAGATATATCTAATGAAAAATGCAATTCATGCTGGTTCCTGCTCATAAATTTAGTCTCTCAGGGTTGACAACACTATAATATGGATGTTTCTTTGCAAATGTTATAAACATTAAATAAAGAAATTATCTCAATGCAAAGTTCTCCTCTCAAAGCAATTCACATCAGTGTATTGTCCTTAATATAAGGCAGAGAGGACAATATCTGTTCCAAGTAAGACGGTATCTCTGATAACAAAGGAGAAAATTCCTTTGTGAAATCAACAACACATGTTTTTAAAAATTCTGGAAATAAAATATTTGACATAATATTGCTTTTAACAAAGTCTGAAAAGTAGGACAGCTATTGGTGTGAAATTCAGGGAAAGTAATAGACACTGATAAAAGAAAAAAGCTGCAGAGAAGACAAGACACAAGGTTAGCAAACAACTGGGGTCACAGAAGTCTGTTATGATAAGAACGGAAATATGCTTTTGATACAACATTGCCTCCTCTAAGAAAATAAGTGCAGAGATATTTCCCAGCTAGGCATCTAGAAATGGTACCATTTAAGACATTTATCCATCTTGCAAAGCTGTCAGTATCCCTGTATTTCAGCAATAACTGACACCAGCCTCATCTGGCTTTTCTCTCACTACCACACACTGACCAAGGATGGAAGAATGGAAGTGCTCTACTATATTTTTCTTGCCACAGCACAGAGTGCCCAAGAAGCTGTGGGCTTGGAAACAATGGGGAAAAGCAAGTATACATTTGTTTGGGTGGGGTTTTCTTTTGTTTGTTTTTTTAATTATTATTTTGGGTTTTGTTTGTTTGTTTGGTGGGCGTGTTTTTTGTTTTATTTTAATTTTTATTTTGCTTCTTTACCTGGAGGTCATTTGTTTGTTTGTTTGTTTGTGAAGGGCTTGGTTTTGGTTTGTTTTGTTGTGGTTTTTTGTGGATTTTACATGACTCTTCACAAGTTGTTTGACTTACTCTAGTGCACTCTCCAGAAGGTGTTGGAAGCAATGGTGAAAAAAACATTTCAAAGCCATGAATTTTTGCATGTCCAATAATCATGTACTTATATGCATTATGATATATAAAATTTGCATGATTTTGATCCCACACTACTTAACAATTCCTAATTTAAAATGTGCCTTAGCCTCAGTAATAAAAGCAATGTGCAAAATACATTTCAAATCGTGAAATAGCAGTTTATCCACTGATTAGAACAGGTTCTGAACTTAACAAGATCTTACTTCATTTTAATGTTTAAAATTTGAGTCTTTTTAAGATATCTTTGACGTATCAGAGATCTCTAATAAATCAGTCTGATAAATATGATGTGTAAGGCATGGAGAAACATGGTGCTCCATCACCCTCTGAAAATATTAACTTATACTTAAAAAGTCTTTATTGCTTCAATTATTATTTTCTCTCAGTATAAGTTTATGATATTTTAGTAATTTAGATTTTTTTTTCTCTCAGTATAAGTTTATGATATTTTAGTAATTTAGATTTTTTCTGCTTTGGCTTATAGGCATTGAATCTAGATATATCTGCCTGTTAGAGTGTTAACTTTACTACATTTTTGGTTCCTTGGTAAGTATGTATGATCACCAAATTATGAAAACTACAGAAATTTAAGTTCTTGCATCTTTAGAACATGTTTTTAAGTTTTTTCATGATACCAATAGTGGTTCTGTAAACACTGTTCCATTTCTTCAGCATCTGAAAATGCAGATGGCGCTTAAGGATATATTAAGAGTTTCTTCATTAAAGACCATATAATTATGACATAAGTATTGAAATATATTAAATAAGCATACTGAAAAAGGTTATTATATGTAGAACAATCTCTCTTTTAAAAAGAGTGAACGTGTCAAAGGCTTTTATTGCCTGAGGCAGGGACCTGTAAGAGCAGACAGAAATGTCTCCTGAGTTATCCTCTTTAAAGCTGCCTTGAAGAGCGCTAACTTCACTTTTGCTTCCTCCCTGCTGCAAGAAAAATACCTACATGCTGCTCTCCTTGTCTTTGCTTTTATAGCTTTTCCTTCTTCCAAAGGATTCTGGCCTTTGTTTTACCTCTGTCCTACTTTGATTCCTGATACTGAGACTATTCAGATGCTTCCATTCATGTCTTTCTCTACCACCCCTTTCTCAGTGCTGGCTCTTGGCCTTCATATATTTTTTGCATTTTTATCACAGCCTTTCTCACTCCATCTTTCCCCTTTCACTATGGAGTGGGAGTGTCTTATTCTCCATTTGTCCGTAAAATGGTAAGAAAATACGGATACTCATTACATTGTGTTTCTTAGCAAAGCGGTTATTTTAAAGTGGACGTTAAGGACCATCCTCCGATCTCAAACATATTCTGATAATTTAAATATTGAGTTTTGAGGTAATTGCCACTGAATACTTGAATTTCATTATATATCATATAATTCATGGCCTCAGCAAGTCAAATCATAGTGGTAGGAATTTGACAGGGATGAGAAAAATTGTTTGAGAATCCAGATTTTTAAGGTGCATGAGAAAAATAATGATCTAAAATTACTGCAGAGTCTTTCCTGTCTATCTATAGTTCTCATAGTCTTTGAGAAGAATTAAACTATCTTCTCTTGACAGTGTAAAGGAGGTTACAGTCTACTGTGCTCTGTTGTCTAAAGAATAAACTGGAAATAATGTATAGCACTGGAAACTCAGTCATGATATTATGGTGAGTTTAAATAAATATGAAGTCGATTTCTATATTTTATTAAATTTCTTTTACCTATTATATTGCATGTCAAACAATGTCTAACATCCACCTCTATTTTATTTCAATAGACTCCTTTTTAATAGACACATAAACATAAATAGGTACACAAATAAAAGCCTCGTGTTCCACATCTCACAAATTGTTTTAAATCGAAATTTTAGATAATATTCAATTAACTTATATGGAATTAAAATGACCTGTCCAAAGGAGAAAGAATGTGAATTGTTTTACAATCAATATGTGAAGACACCCACTGATGTCAAGTAAGATCTTTCCTTTTCCCTTTGTTTTTTCTATTTGTCATTTACTATTATTACTTTTTTCCCCCTTTCAGTATTTCCTTGGCCTTCTGCAGCTCTTATTCCTAACAATATTAAATACCAAAAAGTTCATCTGAACACCTTATTCATCACAAATTTTCAGCCCATAGGGGGATGATGATTCTTAGCTTCTTTATGACAGAAACTCAAGTACCTTTCTGTTGTCTCCACCCGTTCATGTAAGACAAAATTTTCTCACTTCTTTATGTTGTCCTTGGGTTTCTTATTTTGATTTAGTAATCTGAAGGATTTCATACTTCACATTGTAGTTTAAGAGTAAAGTACTTGCTAATCAGCTAATCTTT